CTCTCTCTCTCTCTCTCAAAAATAAGTAAACATTAAAAGAAAATAAAAGCATCCTGGGCCTGAGTGAACACCCCTGAATTACTCCCATCATACTATCATGTCTGGTTTTCCTTTCATCATCCTTACTCAAATGCCTTCCACCCCTCCGACCATCTGGTTTGAACATACTCGTATGTTCATATGTTAACTAACTTGAATCTAAATATGTTTTAAAGCCGTTAAAGAAAGCTATGTGTCCCCTTGCCAATTTAATTATACTAAAATGTGAATTAAAAAAAAAGAAAATATCTATATTTTCCATGCTGGCCCTCATTGCCACCTCTGATCTCTCTAACACCGTGTCTCTGAAGCACACTATCTTTCTATTCCCATTGTTTCCTTGGCTTTAGTGCTGTCTGGTTTGTGAGTTCGAGCCCCGCATCGGGCTCTGTGCTAACCGTATGGGGTTGCTTGGGATTCTCTCTCTCTCTCTCTCTCTCTCTTTCTCTCTGCCTCTCTCTATATATATATCTTAAAACAAACATTTTTTTACAAGGTGTAGTGCTGTCTACAAGATTGTATTCATCATCCGCCATCTTCTGTTAAACGCGAGGCCCCCCCTTGTGCGTTGCCCATCCTTGCCACAATGACACGCTTACCTGAGGTCTGCAGTTGCGTTCCTGATGCTTCCCCAACACTTCTAACCTGGCAGTGCTCCACTCTGCACGTGCTCAGCACCCAACCTCTGCGGCCACTCATTCATCCGTCGAATATTCATCTTCCGGCACGTCGCGTGTGGTCTACACCACATCGGTGCCAGAAGGCAGCCCGAGAAGCTTCCGGGCTATTGGGGGGAAACTGAGACATAAACAAGAGACGGTTCAGGGAGATGGATGCCTCATTCAAGCGGAAACCTAGGGCGATGTGGGGAGGCATAGTGGGATCCCACCTAACCCAGGGGAGGCGGAGAATGCGTCCTGGAGCAGGAGGAGCTCTGCCGTGCTCCCCAAAGATGAGGGGGAATTAGTCAGGGAGAAGGGAGGAGGCAGGGCCATGTATTCAGAGGAGATACGTGGCCTGGAATCAGAAGGGTGTCACCACGAGTGGTCCGGCCTGACTCTTGGTCAGGGTCCACGTGGGGTGTGGTGTGGAGGTGTAGCCACGGGACAACTGGCTGGCAGGAGGTGAACAGGACAGTGGGCAGTGAACAGCCACTGGAGGGCTGAAGATAGGGAAACGACTTGGCCAAGTTGTGTGTTAGAGTGCTCACCGAGGCCGCCGTGTGGGCCCCCCTTTTGGGAGGGGCAGTGCGGGGGACACTCTGTGCTAGACGAAGCGTAACCAAGTGCCACTAACTAAAAAACCACCCAATGGGGCGCCTGGGTGGCGCAGTCGGTTAAGCGTCCGACTTCAGCCAGGTCACGATCTCGCGGTCCGTGAGTTCGAGCCCCGCGTCGGGCTCTGGGCTGATGGCTCGGAGCCTGGAGCCCGTTTCTGATTCTGTGTCTCCCTCTCTCTCTGC